AAAGTACTCATTAAATTTGCAATGAAAGGAGGTGGTTAGAGCAGAGGAAATTGTAAAGTGGACTCTTGCACAGGAGCTGCTTTTATAAGGCCATGATCTAGACTGGACACTGCCTCGAGTTTCTTATGCAGCTATTTATAGATGCATATGAACAAGTCATAGATTTGTGTGCTTTGAACGACATCCCCTAAATCTTTATGGATTGTATTTTCTGGCTACAGCCTCCATTTATACACATGCCAATATTTAGTGCAATCCCTGCACAAATAAATGTTATTGTCTTCATCTAACCAAGGCAGCAACCTTAAAAATATCACTCATGACAGATGTGTGTACAGAGATTCAAACACACAGATAAAGATGTCTACATTCATCTTGTATAGTGTGTGCCAAACCAATAATGAAATGTAATGTAACATTTATAGTCAGCTCAGAGCTTTGTGGTTTTACTCTCCTGAAAGTCCTACAGTTCTCAGGCTGACATTTCTGCCCAAGTTGCCCCTGGGGAGGGCTGCAGAGCCCTGCTAAATATTTGCAAATGAACCTGTTTCTTGTGAAAGTCTAATATGAAAAGTTTTACCTTCAAACTGTGGGTAAATGAATCTCCCAGTTCATTAAGGAAGGAGAGGGACCAAGGTTTGGAGTTGGAAGACTAGTTTACTCTTTAGGAAGGTTTAGGATCCTTGGGAAGGTTTCACTGTGTTTCTAGGAGTGAGAACTCAGAATTGGCCTCTGGAGACAGAGCAAGGTTGAGATTCTGCAAATTGAGTTATGCATTTTATTAAATGGGGAAGAATGTATAGAAAAGGAAGACACAGAAAACAATTACAAAGATAATTGAATTAAGATGGATTTTAATCAATTTATGGTCTAGTTTTCACGTATAGAAAGTACCCAGAGTGCAGACCTAAACAGAATCCCTCAAGTCTACATCTGCTGCATTCTTACATTCCATGCCTAGTTTTTTAATAAGTTAGGATAGGTCATTAACTGTCTCACAAAACACTTTTTAAAACGAGAATTAACCCCTTGGCCAATTTTTTTTGCCAATTTGTCAAGTTACAGCTGAATTTCCTTAGGCAAAGTTAGACACTCTGCTCTACTGCATTTGAGATGCTCCAAAAGGACCAAGAGGGATGTGGTAGAGGCTGCCAGGTAGAAAGGAAAAGTGCAGCCTTAGAGGACAGCAACCAGATGCCAGCACAATTCACAGACTACAGAGACAACAGCAACAAAAAAAAATGGTAGAATGTGTCACTTATATTTTTATATTCTATATTTTTATAGTTTGGAGCTCTTTGGTGACCTGTGCAAAATGTGTTGCTCATAATTATGCCCCCAGTCCATTCTGTAAAAGTCAATGCCTGGACATGCTGGGGATATCTGGCATAAAAATTAATTCTCCTGTGCACACAGTTAAAATGATAGTGGGATATTTTACTGTAACATACACTATAATCACACTGAGGAATACTGGCATAAGACATCACAAATAGGGTTTCAGCTCCAGATTGCCGAAACTAACAATAATTTCTGTAATTATTTTATATTAATTATAGGTCATCTACTAATATCTTCAATTAATTAATGCTGTAATGTGATTATGTAATTTATAGTTACTGTTGAAAAAGGTTAATTTGTCAAGAAAGACACAAGGTAAACAGAAATGTTATTAAAACCCCATATAAACATTCATTTGAAAACTTGAACTGAACATAAAGAAACAATATAAAGAAATAAATGTCTAAACATCTACACAGCCATCTATCCATTGGAATTTCATAGAGTAGTTGGATTTCTTAGAGGTGTTATTCTCTCCTTACAAATGACACATCAGTGAGGTTTTTTTCCAGCAAGAATTTTAATCTAAAAAAAAAAAATAATTCTGGTATGTTTAAGAAATCAATCCTTTTTCAAACATTTTAGCCAATGGAATTATTTTAAAATATGTTTAAGTTGTTATTGTGATTTCATTTGCACGTTCTTGTTGAGGACAAATGTAAATAAAAGATAAGTAGTTTAGTAAATCAGATCGGTAACATTTTTGTAAACTAAGGTTAAAATTAAAGTCTTTGAAATGTAAGCAATATTTTCTTTCAGTCATATAGATATTTTCAAAGAGTTTGCAATTTACCTTATTATCAGCCCTGAATTATATTTACCACTTTCTTGACTGAATTTCCCAATACCACAGGCATTAGGAAACCTGAATTATCACAGGTAGGATTCACAGAGCTCCTTTCCGTGGTCAAAGTGTGCAAAGAGGGCTTTTAGCCCCTGAAAGCCTTCAGATCCCCTCTTCCAGCATATCCTAAAGCCACTGTCAGATTTCTTATACCTCTACTTGCTGCTGGATCTCACAAACTATTTTGTGCCTGAACAACTCTGTTCAGCAGAATATTTTTTTTTCTGAGTTCATTGGAATTGCTCTGATTTATTTAAAAGCTGACAGCTGCTGAAGTTCTTGGGAGTTCTTTGAAGGACATTTCCTCTTCCTACACACTTGTGCAAAACCAAGGGTGGCTTGAGTTGGGATAGTCAAGGAAATGAGGCGAACGACTGACAAGAATCAGGCAGTTGAGAGCCACGATGTTAAACAGGTGTAGTGGGATCAGAAGCCATCCCTAGTGTTCATTACTGGCATATGCTATAATACTATCAAATTATTTCAGCAACCTGATGTGAGAATGGGGTGTGGGGTGGAAATTTGCAGATGGTAACAAGGGCAAAAAATGCCGAATGAATTTTAAATCTGCACAGTGTAACATTTTAGCATCAAAGTGAGCATTTAGTACCAAATACCATTAATTAACATTTCCATGGGCTTTTTATTAAATGCTTGCTCAGCAAGTCAAGTGTCTTTCAAGCTCCGAGCAGCTGTGAATGTATAAAAATATATTGACACAGATATATTCATGCATGCAAATAAATGTATTTCTTTCATTTGTTGTGAATGATTGTTATTATATTATAGGTTTTTAGCAAGTTAAAAACTAATTTGCGTTACCAATCTGAACAGCTGAAAGGGGGTTGCACATTAATACCTGTCTACCTGTTTGTAATCACTCTGTAGCATCTGGTCCCAGCTAATTCCCTGTTTTCTACTTCTTAGCAGCTCTCCAAGGCAAGGGGTATGGACCCTAACCCAGTTTCACTTCCAGCATCTCTTTTAAGGCTACTCAGGTGCTCATTTAATAGTGTGTTTCAATCCAGAAAGGTCAATCGATGCCAAACCAGACATAAAAAAAGCATAAATTAAGTTTAAAATAATGCATTGCAACGAACAGTCCTGCAGCTAAGTGCAGTTCTAACAGCTTAATCATCACACCCAGTCAGCAGTCACCTGATAGCTTTTGTTTTTACCCTGTGATAGTAACTAAATTAATTTGCTTCCTAATAAAATATTTCAGGATGCTGAGAAAACACAGATAAGTAGACAGAATCCTTATTAGGATCATCAGTATTAACATAAAATCCTTTTGTGTTCATTAAAGAAAATACAGTCAATTTAATTAATGCACATTAATCCCCAGTTGACATTAAAATCAACTAAAAAACAACACTGATATAGATTATTAAAATGAGACCAAAAAAGTGTACAAGGTGGTCCCTATAGGAAGAAAATAATTCCTGAAACCTAAGGTTTCTTTTTTTTTTTTTTTTAAATGGAAAATATAATCCAGCTGGAGCCACCATTGCCTGCCCATTACTCTAAGGAAGTTTGCACCCACCAGTCACTTTTCTGTGGGACTCAGGGGCAGAGAGACACACTGGAGACAAACATCTCTCCCAGGCTGGGGTGATGTGGAAAACCCTTTACCATCTTTACATGAGTCCTTGCTGGAAGTGCAGCAGTGGATTTTGCCAAGACACTGAGCTGGGTTATTTTCAGGACTATTGCTGAGCTTGAGAAACTGCTTTTCACCTTCTTTATCCCATGTGTGCTTTTTGTACTTTCGTTGCCTTGGCCATGATCCAGCAGCGTGTTAAGACATGGTATGATCCCCAAGTGGGTGAGTGATCTCATTCCTGTTCACCACAGCCCTCAATTCTATTTTAGACATGAGGTGTCTCCATGAAGTCTATGAGATCCCCCATGTGGCATCAGTTAAGCAGGTGCTTAAGAATAGTATCATAAAAAATACCTGAGTGACTCAGGTTTGTCAGACTGATTTTCCAAAGCATTGTAGGTGTTCAGGCACCTAAATCTCATAAGCCTTAGGTGTGTGTTCAAGCCTATCCTATGCTTGGATGTGTGAGTGCACATCAAATGCACTGGCTGGGAACAATGCAGGTATTTGAGCCCCACCTGATTAGGAGCTGTTTGCTGGCACAGGGCTGTGCTGGCGTGACGGTACCAGCCATGGGACGTGAGTTCTTGTTTGCTCAGGGACCTCTAAACCCAGCACTGCACTGAGCTCTGCAGGAAAGCTCTGCCAAGATCAGGCTCCTCTGGGTGAATTTTCAGTCCGTCCTCAGGGATCTGCCCTGGTGCCCTGCATGGAGTGGGAATCAAGGGACCGTTCAACGTCCAATCTCCTTCCCTTATGAGCTGGAATGATATCAGAAACTGGGGAGTTTTGAGGGCTGGGATTTGCAGCAGTGGTGCTTTAGGTGCCTGAAAGCACAGGGGATCCCAGACTTACCAGGTCCCCCAAAGAGCTACATTTCCTCCTCTGTTTCCCTGGTGCTGGCTCTAACCATGGAGATACAGAGTCACGTTCATATTGCATTCTTTCTGGCCCCGTTTTTCTGCAGAATGGAGCCATTTCAGGAAGAACTGGTGAAAATGTGACCCATTCCTCTTCGTCTCCCAGCAGAGATGGGGCAGGGGCTTATGTCCTCTCAGATGGAGGAGGATCCTGAGCTTAGATCACCATCCCCTTGGGGCTAGTCTAACCCCCAGAGGGCTGATGCAAAGTTAGGAAAAGCACACCTTCCAGGAGGGAAGAGACAACAGGTCAGTCCTTTTTCTTCACCCGGTTCATTTTCTCTTTTAGAGACCCCCTGGGCAAGCACAGCAGCCTCATTTGTGAAGAGCTCAGAGAAAAAGCAGAAAACACCAAGCTGTTCAGCCCTGCCAAGGGACAGAGCACCTTAGACCTGCCCAGAGGCAAATTCTAGGTGCTTGCCAGGCTTCAAGGAGAAAAACTGCAGTGCCTACAAATTCTGGATTTATTTTGACCAGCAACTGCACAGGCATTTTGAGAAGCCACATTTTGGACATGGGTGTGTAAGTGCCTCTGTACATTAGCCTAATTTGCCTTTGAAAATTGGTTTCAGATGGCTCTGCAAATATTGTCTTACTACTTTTTTGTTGAATGTGGACTGAAATGGAAGGTACATGTTGAGGGACTGATCTTCAAAATGTAGCTTAGATTTCAACTGAAGATGGCAGAAATGCTTCCTGAAAGAAAAAATATAGTAAGTTCTGATTTAGAATTCTTGTGTATATGGCAAAAAATCAATTCATTTTCATAGAATGGAGGATCAATAATATGGAGCTGTGCTCCTGGACACCAGTATTTCTAAAATACCATTCAAGTCACAGCAGGTCTTATTTAAGGTTGTGAGAGTTTTGCCATTGATTGTTTGGTTACATTGGACTTTATATTTCTTCATCAGTTCCTGGTGTTTTTATTTTGAACTGATTTTAACTCCAGAGAGACTTTTTTTTCCTTTTCCCCCAGGATTTCTGTCTCTATCAAAACCTTATGCCCTCCCTTCACTATTGATTACACTCACAAGCTCTTATCTTCAGCTTATAACTTATTTTATTAACTACTTTAAAAAGTGAAGATAAAACATGAAAAAGGAGAAGAGGAATTGTGTGGTTATCCCATGAACAGTGAGGGTTTATTTTTAGAACATACCTAGTTGCTGACAAAATAGAAGTTGGGGTTTTCTTTTTAAAAGGCATGACACGTTCCAAACTATGATAAGGTTTTGGGCAAATTAAATAAGAAGTAAGGTTTGTTAATGTACAGTTTTTATGATAGCTGTTAGCATGTCGAGTCTTTCCTTCTTTTCGCTTCATATTTTAAAGTTTCCTTTTATGTGTGTGAAAAATGAGTAAAAGTGTCAAGCCTTATCACACCTGACCTTGCTTTTTGGCTAGCCTCTTTCCCTTATCTGTCAAACACATTACTCTCCCCATCATAACGTGGTAGTGCAAACATCGCAGCTGGCCAGCAAACATGACCAAAGCTACCTTTAAACTACCTCTAGACTCTTTAAACTCAACTAAAAGGCTGATTAGGTTCCACCTCTTTGGTCATTATCTTATTTCGATAGCCACGCAATGAAAAAGCAATCTAGTAAAAAGCTCCCTCCTAGGAAAACTAGTTAAAGTGTGTGCTTGCTTAGGACGGTGTACTTAAAGAAAACAATTTATTCGTTCGTCAAAACCAACTGTGTAAACTAGTTTAGCTGTTTGCCGAGGCTTGGAATGAACAAACGTTGTTGTTTTCCTCCCACAGCTCCTCGGGGAGGGAGAACGGCGGGTCGGGGCGGGTCCGGCCCCGGCGCTCCCGCAGCGCGGTGCGTGCAGGGCGCGGGTCCTGCCCCGCACCCTGCCAAAGGCAACAGCCCTACCCTGCTCCGCAGCCTACGCAGGGATCCCTCATCCCGTTCCTGGACAGGGAGAAACCGCCTCTCAGCGGGAAAAGCGACGGGAACCCCCGGGCGCGCTCCATCTCCCTCCGGCTGATGCTCGCCCCGGGACCGCCTCGGAGGTGCATGACCCTCGCCGTGCTGTTTGATCCGTTCTCCCTCTCCACCTTCTCAGGAATTATCTATTTTTTTTTTCTTTCCTAAACAAATTTAGAAGGAAGAGATTAGGCAGGGGAGGGACAGGCTGGCTGCGAGCCTGCAGCCGGCAGTGGAAGGGAACCACAAGCCTTTCTCGGGCGGTGTTTGCTCGGGTTCCTTTAGCAAGCGCGGCACAATGGCAACTATTCAGGAATTAGTCAATATGACCTGGCACTAACAAGCCCTAAAAACATATATGCCTCATTCTCACAGAGCCTAGGAATCATGTTTTTAAGCGGGATTTACTTTACTTTGTCAACAGAACAGGTAATGTGGGAAGTCTCTATTGGAGAGTAAAAGCTTTTCCCGTCCTCTCTTCCAAAAGAGACATTTGGACCATAAAACCGACTTTCCTGGCCAACTGAAGAGATTTCACCACAGGTAGTCCTGAGTGACAGGATTTTCCCCGAGCAAAATTAAACTGGAAAGGAGAAATGCCCTGAGAAACCCATCCGGCCTCCCTCGGGGGGGATTTCCCAGGGAGTGAGGGGGACAAACTCACATGGGTGGCGGGAGGGTGGGCAGGGAGAGGGGCCCCGGCCACGAAAGGGTAACGAGCCCGGAGACCGGAGCTGTTTGTCACCGGCACCCAGCAGGAAAAAAAAAAAATATATAAAAAGAATTACTGATTAACGTGATCTGTCAATACGCCTTTGCCCCGCGGGACCGGAGCCGATCTATTACCTGGCACCTCCTTTGCCATCTCCCTCACCTTGGTGAGCCCCTGCATCCCTCGCCTGGCCCTGAGTCATGGGTAAACACCGCCGGGTGCCAGGCTGTGCCCGGGGTACCCGCCCGGGGCCGGCGCCTCCCGGCCCCGCACCCAACGTGAGGGTTTAGGGGCTCCTGCGGGACAAGGGTGCAGCCTTCAGAGAGTAAATGAGTGAGTTCCCCACCATTCCAAAGGGCACAGACAGGGAAGAGGGGAAAAAAAGTCACTCACAGGCACGAAGAGACGGCTCGGGGGCGAGGACCTGACCCGGAGCGCATCCCTGACCCGGCTGGAGGAAGGCGGGGGGGGGAATAAAGATAATAATTCTTTTTAAAAAACAGTTGAGAAACGTTGCTTTTCGCAGTAAAGCGTGGCTGCGCGCAGGATAAACACGGTGAAAAAAAAAAGTAATACCTTAAACAAACCTGTCCTAGATGGGGCGCAGCCCCCACCCGCATCCCGCACCTCTCCGGGGGACGCCCCGCTCTGGCACCGCCGCTGCCCGGGAAGGGACCAGCAGCCCCGCTGCGGGGAGCAGCCACCGGGATCCAGATCTCCCCGCGCAAATTAATTCATCACAGAGCGTGTTAAACAATTTGCAGGGCGAGCATGTTGTGGACTGGGGGGGAGTTGGGTTGTTCGAGGGGGTTTTTTGGAGGGGGAGTCGGTGGAGAGTGTTTTGGTTTTACCTCCTCTCTGGGGCCAAACAGCAACTGGCAGCCAAAAGACTTTCTGAACTGTTTCATTTGGGAAAGTGAGGAGAAAAGTGACGTCTGACTCTCTCCGCATTTTAAATATGCTTGAATATAATTGACTGACTGCCGCTATGGATCATTTGACGTGGATGATGGTGGGTGCCCTGAAAGTCCCTGAAAATGCTCATTTGCAGGAAGAACCTGTTAAAAATGAAGGGCTTGGATCAAATGTAGGGGCTAAAGGCATTTGCTTGTGCCACCGTTCGCATCACGATTGTGCGAGCGCTCCTCCACCTCTCTCCATACATACATCAAATTTTTAGTTCAGAAAAGCCTAGTAGCTGTTCGGTATTGGCTCATAGAAACCCCTCACTGTATTTCCCGAAAACCTCCTCTGTGCTGTAGGACCTGCTGTGTTAAATTATGATCCAAAGGCTGTGGGGTGGGAACAATCAATCAGAATACCTGGGGTAGTGTGTAATGTGTGTGCTCTTGCCAGCGGGAGCAAGCGGCCCCTGAACACAGTCCCCCAGCAGGTTAAATAAATATGATACTATAGACAAACCGAGAGGATCACATGGCCGCATCAATCAGCTGTTGATAAAATACAATCTTCCTTTAATACACGCTGGGAAAGTTATTTAACACTTACAAAACCTGAATTCAGTGCTGTTTCTTTTAGTAAAAGGGGAGAAAAATATTCTTTGAAAGTGCAACTCTTCTTAAAAGGCAAGGAGAGGTGACAGTTGCATTTTCCTGGGGGATATAATAGAAAGCTTTTAATGAAGCCACAGACACTGTACAAAGTACCTGAGCCACGATGCTGGAAAAATACAGAAGCTGTTAAAAGAACAAGTCAATGTAGAAGTGACCGGAGCCGAATCCTGGCTGCGCATTAGGGTTTATTTCCTTTCCATTCATGATTTCACAACCAGGGTGGCTAAAAGGCTCCCGAACTGTTTCTTCTTGGCATGTAATTAGGGACGAGCCCCTCCAAGGAGGAAACGACCGGGGGTTCTTCCTTCCCAGCTCAGCATCTATCGCAGCTGCCGGACAGTTGGAGCGGCTGGAGAAGCAGGAGAGACAAGGATGCTCAGATTATTTTGTTTAATACTTTGTCGAAGAAATAATAAAATATTATAATTTCCTAAAAGAAATCAGTTCTCTCAGGTGTTTGTTGAAACAGAAGTTGTTGGTAAGGTCCGATCATGGGGCTTTTTGTTTGGATAGGGTTTTTTTTGTAGGAAGGAGGGGGACTCTCGGGGTGCAATGTGTGTTTTCCCCGTCTCACGTGAGGGAAGTTTTACCTACTGAGATAAAAAGGGCCGTCGCCCGAGTGCGCTTTGGGATTATCGCCCATTTGTTACCTCCTCGCTTTCCACTCACTTTTTTTAATTCCCATTGCGGTGCCTTGTCCCAGTTCCCCACCTCACCCCCTCCCCTCAAAGGCCCTGGTCCTGCCGGGTCTCCCGGCGGACTGCAAAGCCCTCGGCGAGTTTGTGGGGCTGGCGGCAGCAGTGCGGCGTTAGACCCCTTCCCCCGCTCCCCGAGCCCCTCCTCGCCCACCTTAAGCCCCTCAAGGCACGGGAAAAGTCCCCACCGAGCCTAAGGGAGATACAACATAAATCACTGGGCGGCCCAAACCTCCACGGGGAAAGGCAGAAGGGAATTCTGACGAGGTTTCCCCTAACAAATGGAGATTAATGCCCGCTGGAAAGAAAAAAAGAAAAAAAAAAAAAAGCGGTTGGAAGTGATGTTTATACAGGAGAAATCCTGGAAATAGGGGAAAGAGGGGGAAAACACCCCAAAGCTCAGGAAGCTGCAGATCCAGGGCTGATGTCAGCCAAAATATATGGGGCTGATGTCGGCCAAAATATATGGGGCTGAGAAGCCAAAAAGGCGTTTGGTTCCCGGTCCTCTCCATCTGCCCTGGGGAACCCTTCACCCGTCGCGAGTGGGCGTCGCGGGGATGTCCCGAACCTCGCGGGTGCGGTCGGGACACCTCGGGTGGAAGGAATTCTCCGGGAAAGGACAGCTCGTGGCAGGGCACCACGCGTGAGCGCGGAGCACGGGAGGAAGGCTCGGGTCGGTGCCCCCCGGGGGCGGTGGGGGGCTGGCAGGGTCCCCGCAGCCGGCCCTGGAGTAGCTGAGGGGGCCTCCGCTCCTCTGATCTGTTTGGAAAGTTGCGCTAAAGAGCCCTTTTACCTGCACCAGCCACCCTTAAGCACTCTCCAGGGGCTTGTTGGGCAGATGTAATGGCAAGGCCAGGGGGTCTTGTTTGGCTAGACGTGAGGACATTTGTCATGGCTGACCTGTGAACTTCAGCTTCTGAGCCCAGGACTGTAAGGAGAGGCTCGGGCTAATGTAATAAAGCGAGAGAGACAAGAGGAAAGGCCTATCTTGCCCCAGGGCCACCACATGTTCACTCCGTTTTACTGTCAGTGCTACATGGAAGCTGTGGCTTCATTTCATATTCTATTAATATTTACAGCGGCGATTGAATTTCCCATTACAAAGTTCACCATACACGCGCCGCTAATATGAAATATTAATAGTATTGTGCACATTATGAAAATTCTTATTATTAAAAAACATATACCGGGCGATTGGCACGGGAAAATTCATTTACTGTGTCCACCTGGTGCAGGGGACCCGCAGCCCCGGCCCCGCGGGGAGGGTTGCCCGGGGGGCCGCGGGGTGGAGCGGGGCTGCACTGGGAGCAGCCCCGGAGCAGGGGTGGCACCGCAGGAAGCAGCATGTTCCTCTCAGTGCCACCTCCACCCACGGAACTGAGTCATCTACTTGTGAAGGGTCACGTTTTCCATCTGGTCTGTGGCATCCTGAGGACAGGAGATGCCCAGAGCAGCTTTACCCCGGCGAGCGATGGGGCCGAGGGGAATCAGGTGGGTTCGGTGGTGAGAGAGGAGCTGTAAGTTTTTTGACTGCTTTCCCCAGCTCGACTTTTCGAGCCGGTTTGAAGCCCAAGCAAAACTCTGAGCGTCTCAGAGATGAGTAATCGGGCATCAGCTTACTTCGCAGACCGCAGCTGAGTCACTTTTCAGTTGCTGCTCAGGGTGGACAGAGAAATCCTATCTCCTGTGAAAGGCAAATTGGCCGCCGCAGTCCCAAAAGTGCCCCGAGGATCAACTGAAATGAAAGTAAACCGATAATTTCCAGATCGCGTGGAAAACAGAGAGGTATCGAATTTAACCACCGGTTAAAGCTCAGCCCGGCAGGACGAACCTCTCCTGGAGCACTTTATCGCGCTCCCATTCGAGAGAGATGCCCAGGTCATTCTGCTCTTTTTTATTTATTATTATTTAACATTCCGAGCACAAACAGCCCTTCCTTTCTCTGCATCGCAAACCTGCACATTCCTGGGAAAATATAAATTTGCCATTTGTGTGTGAGGAGGGTGCAGGGAGAGAAACGTCCGGGGGCTTTGGGGAGCCCACATCCAGCATCTACAGGTGTTTAATATACTAGGAAGATAGTTGGCATAACCTGTTTGATAGAATTTTTTTCCCCGAGATAACTCTTCAATTACACTGATGCCCGCCTGGAACTCACATTCCATTAAAAAAAACCCGACTTGTTTTCCGTCAGGAGGTGGACTGTATTGATCTACCCCGGTATTTACTCTCTGCTGATTGCATTGAGAAAAAGCCCCTGTGGAGTCACTCTTCACCTTGAATCTTTGGTGAAGGTTGTGTTTGAACTTCACTGGGAGTGTTTCACCTCCCTGCTCCCCCAGATTTAACACTTTCCCATAGGGCTGGGCCCTCTCTAAGCTGTACCAAGAGTTTTTCTTGGGCTAATTTTGACCATGAGGAGTAATCAAATCCAGAAGGAAGTCCCTGCCCAGTTAGAGGTGCTGCAGGTGTAGGTTAGATATCTGTTAGCTAGCAGATCGTGGTGGCTCCTCTGTTTTCCCAAAGCTTCCCCCACGCACAAGAAATAGATGCTATTTATGACTCCTAATACATCTGGATTAAGGTAATTTAGGAATCCTTACGTTCGTCTCTCAGCTCGGGAAGATGACAGGCTCTGGGAGGTATGGATGGGTGACATTTCCACCATGAGATCTGTCCTTCCCCCTCTCTGCTCCCCCTTCTCCGCATCTCCCCCTTC